AGGGCGGTGTCACAAGTCTCACATTACACGTTACAATTATATAGATTTATTTTAAATCATCCAATACTGGTTTTGTTTAAAAAGGATGTAACATTTTATGAAGTCAAAAATAATACAAAAAAAAAAACTGATAGATAAAATGCATTTTGGTTCATTTGTTTCAAAATTATATTAACTTCTCGATACAACAAAAAGTTTCTAACTAATTTTGTGTTAATAGAGAGTAATTTAACAATTCAATAAAATAGGTTTTTTTTGTCAATAGTCAATCATATTCCTATAGAGTAACTTCGAATAATGTGGACCACCATTTTCTTTTTTTATATTGTGGGCGTAACAACGGTAAAAAATAAAAATAAATTGTTTTCACAACATAGTAGATTTGTTGGCTAAATATATTCCATGTCCAACATTATATATATATTTGTCTATAAAAATGTTATTCCATTATATTTCAAAGAACTCTAAACTGTGAATAAAAATAGCTTGGCGGGTAATGTGGACAAGTATGTGTGGGTAATGAGGATCAGTAAGTTAAAGGTAGGTTGTGGATTGGTTGTGATAAACTCCATTTTTTTGCACTATTGGGTAACAATGAATGCAAAAATATATGGGTTCATGTTTTGGAATAACCCCAATTTAAGGGTACCGCCCCATTTGCAGTATATTGAAGGTCCTTGCTTCATTATCCAACCGAAGCACCTGTAATTTCGCATATCGAGTTTTCAGAGGATAGAATACCTCCTCGCATATTAAATGCGCCCATGTTTCGAACTCGTCCTCATGAAAAGGTCCCACCTTTTTTTAGTGGTCCACATTACCCGACATTGAATATTTTTATTTAAAAATAATTATCGGCTTCAAAAATGAATAAAAATTAAAAATCACCGATTGTAATTACAGCTAAACGTATATTTTCGATTTTTTCTTAATATTACAATCATAAACTATTTGTTAAAGAAAATATTTGTTTAAATACCTTCCCATCAATTTTGTATCAAAAATCAAAATTATTTGATTATATTTCTTAATATTACAATCATAAACTATTTGAAAACCACATAACTTCTTTTTTTTATATTCGAGAAAAACAAAGTGTTCGTTTTGGAATAACCCCAATATTTTTGCAAAAACGTTCATTATCCAACCGAAGCTATTTCGTGGTAAAAAATGTTAAAATCACACTTTTACAATCAGAGAATATTTTTATTTAAAAATAATTATCGGCTTCAAAAATGAATAAAAATTAAAAATCACCGATCTTTACTACCCACATACATTTTCAACATTTTGCAATTATTTAAAAAATGTTAAAATCACACTTTTACAATCAGAGCTACATCTTCTACCACTACATTTTCAACATTGCAATTATTTTTTCCTAATTATTTATTTACTAATTAGGAAAAAAATTATCAAGGCGTCATTGACATATTTCAAGCATTTTCTTAGATATGGGGGTGGTCCACATTAGACGCATAGTCCACATTATCCGAAGTTACTCTAGTCGGCATGTCGCATTTTAATTGAAGAGAAATTATATATTCGACTGATTTCTCATTATCTTCTTTAATATTTGTTTAAATACCTTCCCATCAATTTTGTATCAAAAATCAAAATTATTTGATTATATTTCTTAATATTACAATCATAAACTATACTGCCGACTTTTGGAAATTGTTATCCAATACTCGGCATACTTAGTACACTCACTTTGAGATTAAAATCATGCCTACTTTTCTAAAAAAACACTCAAAACTGATTTTTTTATAAATGAATCCGAATTGAATTAATTATTGAAAGAAAAGTTATTTTCCACATTGTCTTTTAAAATAAACATGTCCACAATTTTTTCTTAAGAAACATAAGTTGTCTTCGTTTGGCATAGATTTTATCAAAATCAAACAGTTTCTGAGGTGTATTATATATATATATATATTTGATTTGTAATTCTACCACAATGGTACATTTACATTTAACCAGATTTCGTTAAACCAGTGGGTCCTTTACATATCAAATAAATCGTGATAAAGTAGGTTTACCCGGTAAAAAAGTTCCAATGTATATACCGTTTAAGGAACAAAATAATAAAAAAAAATATTAATAAGCAGTAATAATACCGGCATGTACCAATAGTCGGCATATAACTTCAAATAACTAAAAAATCTTAAACCGATGCCGTCCTCAGGAACAAACATTTTTAAGGTTTAATTTACTTAATAGAATATATGGTTTTATTCTTAAATTATTTTAACCTCTGAAATGCGTAATTTAGCCATGCCATGCATAACAGAAAAATCGTTCAAATATATAATTAAAATATTCCAATATATAATTTTTGTTTAACTAATAACAAATATAAATTTTGTTTAACATAACATGCCGACAATTGACAAACAAATAAAACACTATTTTACCTAATTGTCAATTTACTCAACTTTATTACAAATTAATTCAACAATTTTTTATTGCATCGGGAAGTAAAGAAAATTTCGAAACAGATGAACCTGAATACAATATAGTGAAAAAAATGCACTCGTGATGGTGAAACGTTTAAAATTCGAAAATCCTGTTGAAGTGTGGCTGTAATTTTACTAAGAACGTCAAATAGTAAACAGTTTACAAAAAGCGTACAAAAATTTATAACTCCTAAATTGAGGCTTTGTCCAACAAATCTCTTATGTACATCATATTCGACATAGAATATATTTAAAAAAACAACAAACAACATTTGCCCCACCCGGAATTAACAAGTGGAAAATCCACGAACAAAACCATCCATCTTATATATACAAAATATATAAATTATGTTAATATTACTTTGTATTGACGAATATGCTAAATTTGCACACCCAATAATTATATAGGATGTTTACAGACAAGTCACTTACCAGTATATATCGTTTGACGTAAGCATTTTTAGTTGATTTGATTATTCCTACAGTAATCCTTCAGATCGATATCTAGTTAGACTTTTCTTTTAATAAAATCAGGAAAATGTGTTAGGACGAGGACGGCAGGGAGCTGATTATAGTTTATTCCGATTACTTGAGAGATGTAGTTAAATTATTTAGTGTATATATTTTGCATTCGATATATTTTTATTTTTTTGCAACCGTGGGAGTATATGACTACTATTTGACAAAACGAACATTCACAGTTATATGTATGTGTTAACATATGCATTTTGTGTTCCTCCCTTATTACGAAAGCAAGACTTGTTATACATACACAAAACGTCTGTCTTTATTTATGGCCACACCATTTGTTCCTTGCAGTTTTAAACAAAAGAAAGTTAATAATAGAACAATAATGCACAAAATCTAAAGTGCTGCATATTGATTAATAATTCAAGTGCTGCCGATGATTTTTTTAAATCGGGTTTAGGAATATACCTTTTTTACAAAATATTACTTATATTTCATATCACTATTTTTTTGTTTAGTACAACTTCGCGTTATTCCTTTTTAAATAACTATGGAACAGTTGTGTTTCCTATTAGGGAAGTAGCGACTAACTGTTTATGGAGGAAACAATGTAAAAGCAACGATAAATTTCTTCTTATCAATGCTCTCAGCTGCTCGGGCAGAAAAAAATGCTGCTTTAATATTACCCCCGATTTTAAATGAGGGTTGTTATCCCACCGCACAAAATGGGGAAGTGAGAATACTCATTTGGTGGAAATCGAAATGATTGTTACTATTTTCACAAGAGAGTTTATATTTCCTTATGTAGAATGTGTATTTTTAATGCTCATATTCAATGCCTATTGCCACAATTTGAGAGTAGTACAAGCAACCCTTAACGGTCACCGCTCTCTGTCTTGCATTGTGTCTTCTGCCAGAGAACGCATTTGTTATTTAAGCGATGATTCAGTTAGCACAAAAAATAAATTTTTAATAATATTAAAGATTTTTTGGACTGAGAAATATGTCAACGTTTGTATTAGGAAAATTGGAAATATAAATTAATTTAAATGTATTGTAACACTTGCACTTGCATATTATGAATAATATTTTTAATATTTGTAAATCAATAGGAAAGTACACTGTGTTACTATTTTTGGTACCAAGTTCTTCTATATGGATACTATTTCTCGTAATAGATAGTAAGCACAAGTTCGAAAAGAAATCGAATAGGCACAGAAAACAGCTGTTTTAAAATTTGTTGTCAAAGTTTTAACCTTTTAAGTTTACTTAACACAAGATTTACGAAGCCAATATGATTAATTTGAAATTATAACTACATATATTTAAAACATTAATTTTAAAAAACGTACATTGGTTCCTAGCTACGTAATGAAATATATCTAAATGTACAATGCCCTTCCACGCAAACCACTCATTTCACATTGTAGAATGTGGTATACCTATTTATGCGGTTAACCATGCCTAGGCAACATTTAAGTAGCACATGGGCTTTGAAACTGAGAATTAAAAATTTGACAATTTGGGGAAGTGGTACCTTTTTAAATTTTTAAACCCTTTGGGGAATTACTAGAGGGAGTGGACAGATAGGCTCCATCTTCGGATATGATCTAGATTTAATTAAAATATATTACTTTGTGCGAAGTGGGGTCAAATCGGATACTCAATTAGCTACAGGGATTTGGTCTATAAATCCCATTTTCAGATTCAAATAAATTTTGACAAAGACACCAGTTTTCACCAAATCGTATACTCCGTTCGCATTATAAGATATTTCAACATTTTCAAAATATGGACCATTTGTGGAGAAGGTACGGGTAGGAGAGGACCTTTTCAAATTTTAAAAGATTAAAGTTTGGGCCCAATGTGACAACTTTCGGGAGAGTTAAACTCAGGACCATATAACATTCGAAAAGGAACAGAAAGTGCGTCTAGAATATATTTTACAAGTATGTTGTAACTTCAGAAATTCAGACTTTGTAAAAATCCATATATTAAAAGTTTTTGGCCATAATTAGAGCAGTGGTTATGAAGAAAATAAATATCACACATAGTGGTTTCGGGAATAATTACGATTCTGCAAGAAAAAAGTAAAAATTTAATAAGATGAATCGAAAATGACGTTTTGTAAAGTTATGGTCATTAATAACAAATGTGTAATAAGATTTTAAAAATAAAAAAGGTCCAAAATGGTGTATTAAACATAGACAAAATAGAAAAATACAATGAAATCGGTGGTTTATGTATTATGGGTACAAAACTATGGAATGCCTTAAATAAATTTGAAATATGGGCAGTTTGGAGTTTTGAAAGTTTCACACCCAATGAAATACTAAATTACAAGCAATTTGGTTGAAAAACAGGCACGAAATCCCAAAAAAAACAATTTTGTTGATTAGCATGCTCTGTTAGAAAAAGTCAATTCTTTTTTTACATCCAATACTCAATGCCTTTTTTATATTATCGACAATAACTCTTAGGTTAATGAACGATCGCAAAATTCTTGACAGAGAACAATATCAAGGCATCAAGTGGTACTATAACCATAAAAATATCGTCTGGCAGTGCTTGACACTAATTTCGAAAAGTCCTCTTTTTTTTGTAAAAAATCATATTTATGCGATTTATATATAAACATTTTGATTATTATCTTCAAATTGCTTATAATTTTCACTTTCTTTATAATCACCAGTTCTATGTGTTTAATTGACCGTCATTTCGTGTTATTGTTATTTTTTATAATTTTTTAAATATAAATTATATTCACAAAAATATGAAATTTTGACTTTGTAACCCGTGACCTACAATGTTATAAAATTTTACTGCTGTAAAGCTTTAGGTCCCTTGTACCGAACACAAATCTCATTAGAAGCTAGTTGATCCAAACTCCGCACTAAGTATTATATTTACCAATTCTATATCACCTCCGATGATGCAACCTATGGGTGCATAAATTACGTGTTTATCTTTTGAACCATTAATTACATTAGTCGAATTGGCTCACAACCCTAAATATATGTAGGTCTAACAAATTTGATAGCGCTAAATGAGGGAGTCTACTAGAGGAGAAGGGGATGAATATATATATATATATATATATATTTCATAAGATAACTAACAACGGAGCTGATTTAGGCTCGTCTTTTATAAGGGAAGTCCATACATCCTGAGATATGCGCCTTTAAAGTTCCGAAATTCATATGTTGATAACATCGCCCTTTATGGACAGATGAGCCCCTAAACTCAATATAGGTAATTTGTTGATTAAGTGATATTTAAAATTTGTATGAATACTTACGTTTCTTCTGGTATTTTTTTTAATTCGACCATATCCAACTCAAGACGCAAATTCGATACTTCGCATAACAAACGGTCGCGGTCTGCTGTGACTTCTTTAAGCTGTTCGCGCAAAGCTTGGTTTTCCACAATCAGATCATGGACATTTATATTCATAGTATTTGCCATGCCCATAATATGTTGTTGACCCAACGATGGTCTAATTGGTGTTGTGGAATAGTGTAAGAATTGTGAGTTCATGGAGTCATTGGAACCAAACACGTTAGCACTGCTGTAATGACCATGATTGTCCAGTTGATCATTTTCTGATTTATTTTGATTGTAGGTTCCTCCCACATTATGCATACTGCCCACCAGCATTGAACTGGCCATTAGCAGCGACTGAGTTGTTTGGTGGAGCTGCTGCTGCTTGTTGTGTTGTTGAAAAAATTCATTGGGCTCTGTTTGATCGGTTGAGGCCTCTGACTTAATCGAAATATTATCGGAAGCGTTCTCACAGATTGAAGTACCATTGATAGACCCACTACCAGTCGAAAATCGTTTGTTGATATCACACATTTTGGCATATATGTAATTTATACAGATTTTTTCCAATATTAAATAGGTAAATAGTTGTAAAATAATTTCATTTGGTTTTGGGTTCACGAATGTGTTGTTTGTTTACTTTCGATTGCTTCTTCGTTTAATTTCGTATAATCTTTGTTTCTTTTTCGGTAAATGTACACTGAACTCATATTATTTTTTTCGAAAAATGAAAAGCATATCGATTGCATTCAATTTTGAAGAACATTTGTATTTTTTAGTATTTTCACATCAGTGTTCTCAACAGTATTTCACGCCGAACTTTATTAACACTATACACATCGTCCCCCACCGATCACGACATCCGATCAAGCAAGAATTACAAGAACATACGGAAACGAACGCATAATTTTTTTCTTTATGTTGCAACCCGAATAAGGCCTCTTTGTTTGTGTTTTATTCTTGTCATTGGTTCGATGTGTCACTTGTGGCTGGTAAATTGAATAGTTCATGTATCCATGTAGATCTTCATCGTTCTATATATTATTTGTTATTTATAACACAAATACACGCACACATCTGTGTTAGGGGGCAAAAAGACCAGCGCTGAGCCTCAATGGACCCAAATTACTCTTCTGTTCACGAATAATTACTGTTGACGCCGTTCACAATAAAAGATGATCGAGTTTTGTGTAATCGCACCCTCATCAAATACGAAAATCGGAGTTTGTTTTTTCACAGATACCATAGTCACTAAATTTATTTCTATTGACGGCGGTGTGGTAGGGATGTATAGTCGCACTTATTTGATTGCCAGAGATATACAGTCCGAAATAAAGCATATGAAAGTTAGCGCTTCAACATAAGGGACACACGTACAGAAGCACACACATTTGCTTGAAAAAAAAAAAAAAAAACAAATAAGAAATTTAAAAATGGGCAAAAAGATTTTTTATTCTCTTTTGGAGGATAGGGAAGATGATTGGCTGGCAGAAGATTCAGATGAAGATACTATTGAATGGGTTGGTTAATCGTACTAACTAGATGAAGAATATATCATCAAAATGTAAATAAAATTAAAAAAAAAATTGGATTGCGTAGCCATGTATGCGCCTGTCCATATGTGAAAGTGTTATTCTTAAGTTCTCTTAAAAAGTACCAGATATAACCTTTTAATGATACCCATATTGCGTTGGTGGCAATAGAAAAAGGGTTGTTTACACAAAATATTGTTACGTTCTTGGATTTTACTTAATCCCGTGTAGACGTTGTTTTATTTCCCAGCACAGTTCGTACTAAATAAAACGCGGGTTCTTTCTGATTACGATTATTACAATGATTTTATTCACACAACTTTACTTTGCACGTTACTTTACAGCTTTACGTTACTTGACGGTTTCAATTCGCGATCTGATTCACAACTAACTGACCGCCTTTCCATTTCCCCTATTTATATGAGCCTCGCCTGTCGCTACAGAAGTTTCTAGACGATCTGTTAACACCTAGATTACGAACAATCTACAAATGCAACAAACACATACAACCTTACAGTGAGTAAACAATAACAACAACGCATATACAGGCGAGGGGGTAACAAAGAAAGAGGAATTAAGCGATCATCAATGATGACGTTTAACAAGAATTGTACGTCAACAAAAAAATAGACAATGAAAGAGGAAATGGAAGGATGTAGAAAAATCTATACAGTAGTTGTTGTGAAGTTATTCAAATAAACTGCGTAGTAGAAATTTACGTTACAATTCAAATTCTTAAATTAACGGAATTCATCTAAATTAACTTAAATCTAAAGTTATATTCGTAACATTGCCCCCCGCTTAAGCCTGTTCGTCCCGAATAGGCACAGTTCCCGTTCCGTAGGGGGTCAGCCGCTCCAAATGTACAACTTTCATCTTCGACCTGGGACTGTCGCTCCTCTGGATGCGATAAACGACGTCATTTATTTTCGTGACAATCTTGTAGGGTCCTTCCCAGTGCGTTTGCAATTTGGGGCATAGTCCTTTCATTCGTTGTGGGTTGAACAATAGTACCAGTTGCCCTTCTTGAAACTTATCGGTATTTGCCGCTCGAGCGTACCTTGCCTTGCGTTTGCTTACCATTTTTATTCGATGTCGGACTGCATCGTGGACTTTACTAAAAGAGTTTTGACTGTCTTCATCTTGGTTCACATCGTCGTTTGGGGTAGCACCGAATATCAAATCGCCAGGTAGCTTTAATTCATTTCCGAACAGAACTTTGGCTGGGGTCCGGGATGTGGAATCATGAATGGCCGATCTATAAGCCAGTAAAAACTTTGGAATATGCTCATCCCAGTCTCGTTGGCCACTGTCCACCACTTTCCGTAGATGTTCTTCCAGCGTGCGATTGAATCTTTCCACCATGCCATCTGATTGTGGATGTAGGGGCGTCGTTCTGGTTTTCTTGATTCCGTAGGAGTCACACATTTCCTTGAAGATCGCTGATTCAAAATTCCTACCTTGATCGGAATGAACCTCCGATGGAACACCATAGCGACAAATCCAATTTTTGCTGAACACATCCACAATTGTCCTGGCTTCTTGATTTGGGATAGCATAAACCTCTGGCCATTTACTGAAGTAATCCATGACCACTAAGACATACCGGTTTCCAGAGTCGCTTGTTGGGAACGGTCCAGCTACATCCATTGCGATTCTTTCAAAAGGGGCTCCTGAATTATACTGCTGCATGTAGCCTCGACTCTTCCGTGTTGGACCTTTAGCTCTTATGCACCTTTCACAATTGGCGATCCAGTCGGCAATGGATTTTTGACAGCCGACCCAGTAGAATCTCTGCTTTACCTTTTCAGCGGTTTTTGCTATGCCAAGATGTCCTCCACTTGGCCCATCGTGAAACTCCGACAAGACATCTCTTATTTTGGAGTCTGGGACGACGATCAAGTTCCGGTGAGATTTACCGTCCTCACTTTCCCATTTGCGATATAGGCAACCATCTATTATAAGTAGACTGTCTCACTGGGCCCAATAGGATTTTAAAAGAGGGCTTTCGGAGGTAATTTCTTTGCGACTAGGACGCTTGCCCGTTTCTATGGCCGAAATTACTTTGCCCAGAATGGGATCTCTTCGTTGTTCCGTCGACCAATCTTCACCCGACTCAAACTGCAATAGTCGGACATTAACGATATTCTCTTTATTCTCAGCCTTTGAGCAGTGCCTGCATTCTACTTTGCATGGCCGACGAGACAGGGCATCAGCATTACCGTGTTTTCCGCCTTTTCTGTGCTCGATTCTGAAGTCATAACTCTGGAGCCTCTCGATCCAACGGGCTAGTTGACCTTCCGGATTCTTAAACTGCAGCAACCATTGGAGAGCAGCGTGGTCGGTCCTCAGCAGGAAATGCTGGCCATATAGGTATTTGTGGAAGTGTTTAACGCACTCAAGGACAGCAAGCAGCTCTCTCCTCGTCACACAGTAATTCCTCTCAGGTTTCGACAATGTCCGGCTGTAGTACCCGATGACTTTTTCCTGTCCGTCGATTTCCTAGGAAAGGACGCCACCGATGCCGCACGCACTTGCGTCCGTGTCCAGAACAAACTTGCCGCCAGGTATAGGGTATGCCAAAATGGGGGCTCTGCATAGCATGTCTTTGAGCTTTCTGAATGCCTCCTCCTGGTCGTTGCCCCACTGAAACCTCTGGCCGTTTTGCGTCAAGCGGTGTAGACAGGCGGCGATGTTGGCAAAATTTTGGACAAATCGACGGTAGTATGTGCAGAGACCCAGAAAGCTTCGCAGCTCATGGAGATTTCGGGGCTGCGGCCAATCTCTGACGGCTTGAATTTTCTCCTTATCCGTCGATATGCCCTCCGGCGTCACGTGGTGCCCCAGGAACTTCACCTCTCGTTGGAAGAGACTGCACTTCTTTGGGTTCAGCTTGAGGCCTGAAGACGAAAGCTGCTGTAGAACATCCTTTAAGTTCTTGATGTGTTCGTCGAAGTTGCGTCCCATGACTATGATGTCATCCAGGTATATGAGGCACGACTTCCACTGCAGCCCTTTTAACACACGCTCCATCAGCCTTTCAAATGTAGCCGGGGCGTTGCAGAGTCCGAATGGCATGACATTGAACTGCCAGAGACCCCCATTAACCCCAAACGCTGTTTTCTCCTTATCTTTCTCGGCGATCTCTACTTGCCAGTACCCACTCTGCAGGTCGAGGGTGGAGAACCATGACGTCCCGGCTAATGTGTCCAATGTGTCGTCGATTCTTGGGAGCGGATAGCTGTCTTTCTTGGTGACATCATTCAACTTTCGGTAGTCCACACAAAATCGGGTGCTTCCGTCTTTCTTCTTGACCAATACCACTGGGGAGCACCATGGACTTGACGATGGTTCTATTACACCACTCTTTTCCATTTCACTTATCAGCTTCTGGACCTCGTCTCTTTTCGCCAGGGGAACACTTCTTGGAGGCTGTTTAATGGGTCTCGCGTCTGCTGTATGGATTTCATGCTTCACCACTGATGTTCTTCCCTGGTGCTCTTTTGTCAACGCAAAGGTAGAGGCATATTTCCATAATAGCTTAATAGCTTAGCCTTGTTCCTCTCGGAAGGTGATAATTGGTGTGTCCACTCTTTTATGTAGCCGTCGAGGTGCTTCTTCTCCATGGCTGCTGGCTTTTCGGTGCTAGTTTCCAAATTAATTACAGCTTCAGCTGGTGTGCATTGTCCAACATCGGAAAATTGGCAAATTTGCTCTTGCTTGTTTGACAGGTTCAAAACTCTAACAGGAATCAATCCGTCCTTGTTGCTTTTCACCAGGGCATTCGCTATTAGGATGTTACTGTTTATGTTTTCTGCTGGTTCCACCACCCACAACTTCTCGGCTCCACAATCTCCATTCATTGGTACCCATATTATTGCTTCGGCACAGGGCGGTATTATCTCTGGATGGTCCGTAGTCAGACGTCTAATGGGTGTACTTTCATCGTAGCCCACGTTTAACGGAATTTCGACGTTAGACCAGGTCATCACACGCTCTTTC